TATGGATTTCAATCACCATCTGTAAAATACCATTCACCTGTAACACTTAGATTAGCTATTTGATGGAGTCAGGGAGTCACTGAGAGACTTAGCTTTGTGAACACACACCAAAAACCTTTCTGTATGTTTGTCTGTTGTCTGTTGTTGTTGCCATTTAAAGTTCTAGATCTGTACGAGTTTCTGATGATTGTCCATTCTGAGTTCTTCTTTCCTGTTGAAATCTCCTTCCTTCAGCCTTCCGCTGTGCCCACGGTGTGATTCCACGGTGAGGCAAAGGAAGGCAGTTCTGTGTTCTGGGCGGAGCGTTTCTTCTGTGTGAACTGCCTCAGCCTCCTGAGTAGCTGGGACTACAAACATGTGCCACCATGCCTGGCTAATTTTCTCTCTACATATTTTTAGTTGGCCAATTAATTTTTTTCTATTTTTAGTAGAGATAGGGTCTTGCTCTTGCTCAGGCTGGTCTCGAACTCTTAAATTTGAGCGATCCTCCCGCCTTGGCCTCCCAGAGTGCAAGGATTATAGACGTGAGTTACCATGCCCGCCTTTCCTTCTTAATTTTAGGAATATTGTATTTTAATATTTGCCTTTGGGTTGAGTTGACCCAGATGAGGGGCAGTTTCCATGTTTAATTAATGGATTCAGGAAGCAGTATGCTTCCTGATTTATAGAGTATAAAGCAAAATTGACTTCCATGTTTGGCTCAGCATTTCACAATACAGATGAAAGCAACCCAAGAAATGCATTTAAAGAAGGCTTTCTGGCAGAAAAATATTTACCAAGGATTGCCTGTTCTTCACATGAAGAAACTTTCCCATCATGAGAAGGGATACAATTAATACATAGAATGCAAAGTAACACAGAATGCTATTTGACTCAAGGAGATAATTTTGGTACTGTGGGCTAAAAATTACTCTTATTTTAAATTTTTCTACAAAAAGCCAATTTTTGACAGCCATGAGCACATTTGGGGCTCCAGAATATGTGGTCTAATCAACCCTCCTGGCTAATACTGGAATAGGCAGCAATAGCCCATGGTGATTGCAGCTAACATTTGAAAATCCTCAAAAACTGCTAAGTGTCGTGTGCACACAGTAAATGGGCCGGTCCAGATTTCTAGGAATGAAAGATTTTCATAATCTTTTAGAAATCTTTGGAGAGGAAACTGTCACTTTCAATTATGATCAGATTGATAGGCCGAAATGAAGTGTTCCTTGGTGTATTTTGTGAAGTGAGAGTTCTGTTGTCTTATTTGATAGTTGTTACTAAGTTATAGAGATGACTTTGCTAAATATTTTATTTCAAAATAGCTATTACAGTCCTCTCTATGATGTGTATGATAAATAATTTAGGTCACTACTTTTGTAGTGCCATCTAGTCATCAAAGGATATAATTAATATTATAGAGT